AGGATCTCAGCCGCCGTCACTGACGTTCAACCACACAACATCAGCCGTTAGCTGTTAGCAGTTAGCACACAGAGCTCACAGCTCCTCATATCCGTTCAGAAACTGGACAAAAGTTAAACAAGTACAAACCACAGACTGTCTGTGTCATGGTGAATACAGTCGCTGCTTATTTATGTCTGTAGGCCGTTGTTATGAGTGTGGAATGAGCATATACAACGTTAGCTTAGCCTGGTTGACCCGATCTTCATTCAGAAAACAAGCATTTTAAAAGGTGTTTTGCCTGCCGTCTTGTCTGCAGACTTGTCAAAGCATTAATTCATGGTTGTTACTAACCGGTATCAGTATGTTGTTACTTCGGCATCATTTAGAAACGTGTATTACAATTTAATCACGGTAAAATATGTTCATTTGTTGTAGTTGTAGCTCCCGAGCCAGCGCGTCTTGTTTGAATGATGCGAGTAAACACAGCTGGCAGCCGCGGTGAACCTCCAGCGTTTAGAGCGATGCGATAGGAGCGATTAGAGCGAAGCGAATAGTCGCATCGCGTCCGGTGTGAACGCAGCATTAGACATGGGCGGAGCCTCTCTGGTGGTTGACTAATCAGAACAGAGTGGCCGAGCTGACCAATCGGAGCACACTAGGCTCAGTGGAGAGAGTGAATACTGCTGAATACACATACTTTACAGAGATGCTGTATGCGAAACCAATGTGAGTTTGGAAAATTGCACAGTATAAATCTATTTTAATATACCTCAACAATGTAATTATGATCAGTGGAAATGGCCATGACACCTCTCCTTTAATATATAAAGACTATATATTATTGAATTACAAGATTAGATATACTTTATTTGATCTAAAATATTGATGTTTTTTCGTTATACTGTAGTAGCCTGTGAAAACCATAACAAATATGTGTTCAAATGCTCTTCACCAAAACACAACTGAAGTACTGAAAGTTCATGAAACTTGTCTTTCTGTATTTGTGAATGAAGCGCCATCTCATGGTTAAATCCTGAAATTGAAAATCTGGCAACGCCCTCTTGAAAATAGTGGGAGGGCTTAACATTCCCAGCCGCTGGGATCCCTTGGGTTTTTGGCAGGAATCTGTTGGCTGGAGTCCTTTCTAGAGGGCTACATCTGTACATGCCACCTTTATATGGGGGAATGCTGACACAGCATTCCAACTATCTGTTATGCTACGCACAAAATTCTTTATTATTCCGCCGGGTTATTTTGCGCTGCTTCTTCTCCCACATTGAACATCGCAGAAACTCTGTTCAAACATCAAAACGTTCAGCTCGGTCGGGAATCAATGGCTATTACTTTTATCATTCATAACTTTCATAATTCCAGAGATACATCCCATAATACATCACATTTTTAACATGGAAGTCAATGGAGAACTCTTCAGACTTCAACAATCTTCATGCAACTTCAACTGCTAACTGCTCCTTCTTCAACTGCTAACTGCTCCTTCATACTTTCACTCAGAAACCTCATTCCAACTTTAAAATGTCACACATCTTTCTGACATTATTCATGTAACACAACTTTTAAATCTGATTCTTACTTTTACAGATATTAAACATTGTTCAGACCTTGGTAAAGAGAACTTCTTCAGATTTTAGAGTGTGTGATGTCACAGCTAGAGTGGAGGACAGATTTAATTTTGCCTTCAGATTTTCTTTTAAACCTGCCATAATTCCCAAACCCTACATTCCTGAGACATCATTTTTCATGACAAACGTAGGAAAACATCTCGTAGCTTGAAAGATAAAAAAAAAATTAAGCAAAATAATTAAACTCCATTGTAAATTCAGGCTGCTCTTTCCCCACCACAGCAGCCACACACCTTTAGTTAATCTGCCAAAAAGGCCACATTATTAACCTGAAAGTACACAAAAAGTACACTTCAGATGCTCAAGTTCCTTGACATGCTTCACGCTTTGAAATTTCACCGATATCTGTTACGGTTCTTCAACAAAACGTTCACATGTAACAGGTTTATCTCTCATTCAGAACAATGAAAATGCTTTCCTCTCACTAATCACCATGGAAACATTTGATCTCTGGACACGTCCTTAGCTCAAATATAAACACCTGTGTCATGGAACACGATGATGTCATAACTCCAATTGACATAATTAGAGCAGCAGACTAATGACATGGTCACTGGAGTTTAACAGACTGTCTCAGCCTATTCTTTTCCATCTGATGGAGACTTCATACTGACTTCAACATGTTCCACATTTTTTAGACATTATTGGTGACGTATGCTTTTAGTTCTAAAGTCTTCAGTTCAAATATTCTGCTGCTTTTTCATGCATTTAGACTTTTATTTTCTTGTTCTTATTTCACATTCAAGTCCCCTCTATTCATGAACCCTTTAAAGTACTCAGCCACACCACTTACATACCACGTGTGACTGTTGCTATGTCAGTTAATCTTTCAAATACAAGGTTGCTTGTTTGATTCAAGCTCTTGTAGTCAATATGGCCCAATCCCAAACCACTCCCTCGACCCTACCCCTCCGTGACGGAGTGAACTCCGTCTGTAGCCACACTCGCAGCTGAATGAGGCTCCCTCCTGTAAATACAAGTCTTTGACAAGAAAATATGTGAATTTCTAAATATTTAATGTCAATCCCTGGTTTTGGTTCTAGTATGTTCACTGTACTGTAGGTTATTTAGTGGGAATGCTGATACAGCATTCCAACTATCTGTTATGCTACGCACAAAATTATTTATTATTCCGCCGGGTTATTTTGCACCTCTTCTTCTCCCACATTCCACATCGCAGAAACTCCGTTCAAACATCAAAACGTTCAGCTCGGTCGGGAATCGATGGCTATTACTTTTCTTATTCATAACTTTCATAATTCCAGAGATACATCCCATAATTCATCACATTTTTAACATTGAAGTCAATGGAGAAACTCTTCAGACTTGAACAATCTTCATGCAACTTCAACTGCTAACTGCTCCTTCTTCAACTGCTAACTGCTCCTTCATACTTTCACTCAGAAACCTCATTCCAACTTTAAAATGTCACACATCTTTCTGACATTATTCATGTAACACAACTTTTAAATCTGATTCTTACTTTTACAGATATTAAACATTGTTCAGACCTTGGTAAAGAGAACTTCTTCAGATTTTAGAGTGCGTGATGTCACAGCTAGAGTGGAGGACAGATTTAATTTTGCCTTCATATTTGCCTCTTGAGGGCATGAAGTGACAAAAACGTTCAACATGTCTCCATTAAATCCCATCACCATGGAAACCTTTGATCTCTGGACACGTCGTTAGCTCAAATATAAACACCTGTGTCATGGAACATGATGATGTCATAACTCCAACTGACATGCTCAGAGCAGCAGACTTCAGATAATGGTTAATGGTCCTGCCCTCAACAGCTCTACGTCAATTATGGGGTTTCATCATATGCCGTTGCCATGGCAACACAATGCTCGCCATGAAACACGGTTTTCTCATAACTTCAGTGAAAATGCTCTAAACGGCCCAAAACTTCACAGGTTTGGTAACGATGCAGCCATTAACGCATCTAAGCGTATTGTGGGATGTCATCAAATGCCGTTGGCATGGCGACAGATCATTTGCCATCAAGTTAGTTCAAAAGTTTGCAGTTCAAATATTCTGCTGCTTTTCCAAGCCTTTTTACTTCCTCTGTCATCACACATTCAAGCCCCCAGTGTTCATGTATCATTTCAATCTAAATTCTTCACTTTCTTCTTACACATTACATTTCAGCATAGCAGTTTAGCGTCAGCTTTTCAGCATAAAGCATTCCCACTAGCAATTTCTTCAGGAATTGCATTCTCTAGTTGTTCTATTATCCTTGTGATGCAATACAACAATATGGGGACATCTCCAAGTCTTTTTATTTTAATCTTCCCTCACTTCTCTTTTTATACATACTAACTCCCAGTCCACTGCACAAACCGTGACACATTCCTTCCCTCACACAACCATGTTAGTGTAACCAAGTGTAAAATAATATACCTCAAAAATATTTAATTTAAGTTATGATGCATTTTCTTAATATTATCCTTTGTATGTATACTTTGTGTTTATTAATGTATTTGGGGCAGGTTATTACTGATGTTTTTTTAAATATATAGTATTTTTTTTAAATATAGTATATATAGATACTGTATAGACAATATATATATATATACCACCACATTATCAGTTTCTCTGGTTTTACTATTTATGTATAGGTTTGTGTTTTTTTAATTGATTCTATAAACTACTTACAACATTTCTTGTAGTTGTTGATCAGAGTTTGAAAGCTAGTAAATAAGTGAGTTTTGAGAGATTGTTTGAAGGATTCAAGAGTGTTGGCCTTTCGGATGCTAGTAACCTGGTTCTGGTCTCTTGCAGAGAAGCGCCAGCCCCTGAGAAGCCCTACCTGGCAAAGCCTTATTTTGGAGTTTGTTTCTATTTGGACTGTTTTATGTTGCCCCTTGTTTTTTCGTGGCAGGTGTATAAACCTTTATTTGCAAACATCCTTCATCTCCTTCCGTCATTCCCCCTGGGTGAACAGGACAATCTCCGGGTGGCGCCTGAACAGAACCATGTCGAAAGGAGAAAGACCGCTGGGACAGGCCCTCCAGCATCTCGCTCTAATGCAGGAGAGCACCACCGCCGACGATTTCCAGCAAAGCGAAGACCGTGCTCTCCTACAGGAACTGCTGCAGCGGAGCATGAAGTAAGAGTCCGGGCCACTTGCCGTCACAGCAGGCAGACCTACCCCAGCCACGGGGAGGAGATTCCCTGAAGCAGTTGCTACTCCTCCCTCGCCGCACACACCGACACCCACACACCCTACAGCCCAAACACTTCCAACCAAAGCCCAACCGTATCCTCCTCCTCTTTTTGTCTCACTAAAACAAAACTATTTTGGGAAGCTGAATAGGGTCAAGTCTTGTGTAAATATATGTATATATATTGTGAAAAAGTGTTTTTGTTACTAACCGTCACTGAAGTTGGAGGTGGAGTCAATTTTCCATACGATCTGTCCCCTATGAGATCCGTTGATGCCTCGGTTCTTGTAGTCCAGAAAGTCCTCCGATAAAGCCTCGTCTGGGAAGAGGTAACAACCATTTAAACTCAAATGCTACTCAATCTCAAATAATTCTCTGATTAAGTCATTCTTTATAAGCAATTTCCCTACACTTTACATTACAGTCACATAAATTGCAATTGATTCTCCAAGTAGAATTGTCCTTGATCTACTAGAAATAATAGGTGTGCCACCCCATATTGTAGGAACTGGTATAAACCTTAGTGTAATACAAATGTGCAATATTACAATGTTTTGGGAATTTGGACAAGTTGATGTATTTGCATTATAACAACATATAGTATAGCAGAAACACAATGGCTGAAATCTAATGTCTTGTTTATTTTTTCTGAGGATATTTACAATTTAACAACTTAAAATGTGTGTTTGATAACATGTAGCTTCACAGAAAAAGATCAGAGGTGCACAACATACTCTGTGTCATGATCTTAGTGTTATGTCACGGTTTTAGTTTTGTCTGTCTGGTATAGTGTTCATTTCTTCAGCTATTTTTTAATTTAGTTTTAGTCTTAGTCCTGTGTTAAATTTCCTTTTTAGTTTTAGTCATATTTAGTCACCTTCATCCTGTTTTTATTTAGTCAAGTTTTAGTCGACTAAAAGTCTAAGCGTTTTAGTCTTATTTTAGTCGACTAAAATAGTAAATATTTGAGTCAAGATTTAGTCGACTAAAAGTCTGAGCATTTTAGTCTTATTTTAGTCTACTTTTTGTCAATGAAAACTGTTGAGTCTTTTTTAGTCATCAGATTATATAGAACATTTCAGTCAAACTAGTCTAGCCAAAACCAATAATTTGTCATTTTAGTCAAAATTATTTCACAATAAGATTATATCTTGTCCTTATTTGATGAAAAACACAGGTTGAATGATTAAGAATGCAGCTTTGCAGAGAGTATCTGGTCAGGTTTGTGGTGTTTTTACCAGCTGTGTTATGGCCACATTGCTTCCCTTCTGATAAAAGAAGAGAATCGCTGGCAACTACAACAAAATGAACATATTTTACCGTGATTTAATTGCAATACACGTTTCAAAATGATGCCGAAGTAACAACATACTGATACCGGTTAGTAAAAACCATGAATTAATGCTTTGACAAGTCTGCAGACAAGACGGCAGGCAAAAAACCTTTTAAAATGTGTGTTTTCTGAATGGAGATTGGCTAAGCTAACGCAGTATATGCAGACATAAATAAACCAGCGACTGTATTCGCCATGACACAGACAGTCTGTGGTTTGTACTTGTTTAACTTTTGTCTAGTTTCTGAACAGATATGAGGAGCTGTGAGCTCTGAGGGCTAACAGCTAACGGCTGATGTTGGTTTTGTGTTTCGCATTGAAGATGACGTCAAGGCTCCGCCTACACTGCGTTACTATAGTTACTACCCCAGTTCCTAAACTGTAATGGAAACGCAGCATAAAGTGAGCCTGGCCTAACAAGGCCTAACGAGGCCTAGCCATACCGTACTAAGCCGAGCGAGGCCCTGCAGTGGAAAAGCGCCACAAGTGAGCTTAACAGTTACAAAATAAAAAGTGTGCAAATGTATTTAGTATCCTATCCACGTGAACATGTTTTAAGTGCGGGGTGGACCTCACATCCGCTAGGGGGGTCTGGATGCATGCTCCCCCGGGAAGATATTCTTTGCATCAATCTGGTGCCCTTTGGAGGCAACATTTATGGACTAGATCTATGAATACATCTCTCAAGACCCATTTGAAACATAACTGTTTACATTTCAATAATCAAAGATTATTAGAATATGGTCATATTTTATATTTCTTTATGCATCTTTAACTTATCACTCACCTTTTAAACTTTATTTTTACTGTCCTACAGTATGAACTTGAATTATTTCTTATCTGTTTTTCATTTATTCTCTTGTTTTATTATAACTATAATAATATTATAAAGGTGTGCCTTGGAAATAGTAAGTAAGTGGCGTCTACATTCACAACAGTCGATTTGAGCACGCAAAAAACACAGCATCTCTACACCCCTGACTGACACAGAAGGACTCCCGAATTGGTGAATCACATTACATTACATGTCACTTGTTAGACGCTTTTATCCCAAGTGATTTACATATACTCCATACTGTGGACAATCCCCACAGGAGCAACTTGGTGTGAAGTGTCTTGCCCAGACATAACTTTTGTCTAGTTTCTGAACAGATATGAGGAGCTGTGAGCTCTGAGGGCTAACAGCTAACGGCTGATGTTGGTTTTGTGTTTCGCATTGAAGATGACGTCAAGGCTCCGCCTACACTGCGTTACTATAATTACTACCCCAGTTCCTAAACTGTAATGGAAACGCAGCATAAAGTGAGCCTGGCCTAACAAGGCCTAACGAGGCCTAGCCATACCGTACTAAGCCGAGCGAGGCCCTGCAGTGGAAAAGTGCCACAAGTGAGCTAAACGGTGGCCCTTTTCTCATTTTCTTTTTATTATCTTTAAAAAAAAAGTCAAACATGTCTGGCCTCACTGAAGATTGGAACCAACTGGGACGAAATACCATCTAAATTGTGACAATGAGTACTAATTTAAACTTTGATTGTATGTGGTAACTGGTTTCATCATTAAATATAGTTAAATGATTATTGTTTATCTTGTATCTATCTCAAAATCTAACATTCAATGTCATCATATCACAGCTCACTTACCGACATGATACATGCCAATCCAGTCCCCAGCATCCACTTCCTCCTTGATATCCCATGTGATTACGAGGTCTTCAGACTGGGCTATGGTGTAGTGGGAGGAGCTGATAGTTAGGGTGGAGCGAGTGTCAGGAGAGACCAGATCAGTGTCACTGGTGGACCGCGGCAATCCCATCATGAAGTCCTCCTGATTCAGACCATTGACAGCAAAGCTGTCTGGGCCGTAACTGTGACGAACTGCACTCTTGTAGCGCTGACTAGTCTGGCTGCTGCGGGTCGGGGAGGCCATGGCAGCCAGGCCAAGGAACCTATTCTGGTACAAGTTCTGCAAAAAAATACATCGTCACTCTACCTTAAGGATCAGTTAATACAGTGTTCAATGCAACATTTGTTTTCATTTTTTCCAGAGAAAACCTACTCATCCTGCTCACAAATAGGGTGTTTACTTTGAGCAGTGGTGGAAGGATGAGGGTCTGCACCAAAGATGTAATAATGTACATCGTTTTTTCCAGAGTGTAGAGTAAGGACTGTTATTTTACATGTGGTGTTTATGGATTGATATTAGGTAATAATCATATATTTTTTAAATATGTACTGTAAAGCTTTAGTAATTTGTTATTTTAAATATGTCTCAAATATTTATGTCCAGTTATGTATGTTAGTGTCTACAACAGGACACAATTCAAATCTATTTTCCTTCTTCCATGTTTGACAGCAAAATAAGCCCTTGGTACGTAATACTTGAAAATGGTGTCTTTCATTCTACTCTGTAAGAAACGCAGAGTGTGTGCAACTAGCAACCAAAAAAGAAGATGATAAATCACTACTACTTTAGCCAGTTATCCTGATGCACCAATCACTATTTTTTACTAATGGTGAATACCCAATTATGATTTGATACCTAAAATTAGACTTTATAGAGCAGTGTTTCTCAAACTTTTTCAAACCAAGGACCACTTAACCAATAAAAAAACACTCACAGGCCACCTAACTCAAAACAATAGGCCTGCTTACCACTCCAACAATATGTTACAAATAACAGCCTAATAATGATAGCTTTATGTGACCTTCTTTATATTGTTCGTTCACACATTAAATCAACAATACAAATACAATCAATAGAGTATCCAAAGAATACACAATATTAAATGTTAATAATGAATAAAAAGTCTCTATATTAGACCAATCTACTACCAAAATAGAAACTAATGGACACAAGTTACAAAATAAAAAGTGTGCAAATGTATTTAGTATCCTATCCACGTGAACATGTTTTAAGTGCGGGGTGGACCTCACATCCGCTAGGGGGGTCTGGATGCATGCTCCCCCGGGAAGATATTCTTTGCATCAATCTGGTGCCCTTTGGAGGCAACATTTATGGACTAGATCTATGAATACATCTCTCAAGACCCATTTGAAACATAACTGTTTACATTTCAATAATCAAAGATTATTAGAATATGGTCATATTTTATATTTCTTTATGCATCTTTAACTTATCACTCACCTTTTAAACTTTATTTTTACTGTCCTACAGTATGAACTTGAATTATTTCTTATCTGTTTTTCATTTATTCTCTTGTTTTATTATAACTATAATAATATTATAAAGGTGTGCCTTGGAAATAGTAAGTAAGTGGCGTCTACATTCACAACAGTCGATTTGAGCACGCAAAAAACACGGCATCTCTATACCCCTGACTGACACAGAAGGACTCCCGAATTGGTGAATCACATTACATTACATGTCACTTGTTAGACGCTTTTATCCCAAGTGATTTACATACACTCCATACTGTGGACAATCCCCACAGGAGCAACTTGGTGTGAAGTGTCTTGCCCAGACATAACGCCATGTTGACTGCAGTGGGGATGATTTGTGCTCCCATTATCCGAAGATCAACGCATTAGCCCACTGAGACACAGCCTCCCTACGGTTAAGCCTATCACGGTAAAGAAAGAAATAAGAGAGAAAGTGCATATCTATATATGTCAGCAGTCATGGGCGTAATTTCCACTGGGGACAGGGGGGACATGTCCCCCCCACTTTTCAATATCCCATTTGTGTCCCCCCCACTTTTATCCAGAGAGCGGAGACACGCCCATTTCCCAAGATGGCGGCAGGCAGTTCTGGAGCAGTGGCTGCAATCTATCTCTGCATGATTGTCCTACATCTCAAACCTCTGTGTAACTACACCACTCATCTTGCCCCCATGGTAAAACAACATGTTGAGGATACATCATTGTCTGCACCAGCAACATCGTTGAATGTCAAGCACTTCGGCCATGGTCGGCATATTATCTACAGTTCATTCATCTGGCACTCCTGGCAGACTCTCTCAAACAGAAAAAAGGGTTTTAAATGAAAAGAGGAGAATATTGGGCTATTGGCTCTGCTGTGTCTATTACTCTCGGGAGATATCCACCCGTGTCCGGGTCCCGGCGTTGTTTCCATTAACCTGACGGCTGGCAGCCCAGCCGCTGAGCTCCACACGCCATCAGTCGGCTTCCGAAGAGGCTCGCTAGCTAAACAGCTAGCACCACCGGCGGATCTCTGCGTGTCTCGCGCCGACGGCTGCCGGCCTAGTAGCAGGACCTCTACCCACACCACCGGAGAACTACAGGTCCACGCCGAGGGCTGGTGGCCGAGCAGCGGAGATCCACACACCGCCGGCTGGCTTCAGAGGAGGACGGATAGCTTCCACACCACCGGAGAACTACGGGTCCACGCCGAGGGCTGGTGGCCGAGCAGCGGAGATCCACACACCGCCGGCTGGCTTCAGAGGAGGACGAATGGCTTCCACACCACCAGAGAACTACGGATCGGCACCGAGGGCTAGCGGTCTAGCAGCGGAGATTCTTGCACCACCAGACACCACCGGACTGGCTTCAGAAGAGGCCGGCTAGCTGAAGAGCTAGCTCTGCCGGCGGGTCTCAGTGGCTCGCGCTGACGGCTGCTGGCCTAGCAGCAGAGATCCATAAACCACCAGCTAGCTTTGACTGCTCCACTATCAACAACGGCACCGAGGTAAAGCCTAGAAATCCTGTATTTAAAAAACACCGTTGCACAAAAATGTTTCAAACAGTGAATCAAGCTAAAATAGTGTGGGATCATCGGTGCAAGCCGAAGGGACTATTCAGTGGACATTTAAATTTCCGCAGCATCTGCAATAAACATGAACAGCTAGAACATCTCCTCCTTGAGTCCAATATTGACTGTTTGGGAATATCTGAATCTTGGCTAAAACAGTCGTCACCATCCACTCTTGTATCTATGTCAGGATATAATGTGTTTAGGAAGGACAGACTGAAGGGAAAAGGAGGGGGTGTGTTGCTTTATGTGAGGGATACCATTACTTGTAGGGAGATTGCACTCTCAGCTAATGTTGAGTTTGATTGTGTTGGTGTGGAAATCACACTATCTGAGGAAATGTCCCTCACCATGATTTGCCTGTATCGTCAACCCACCGCTAAGGTGGATTTCTATGACCAGGTAAAACTCTTGCTGAATTCCTGTGACTCCAACAAAGAGCTAATTATTGTAGGCGACTTTAATATCAACTGGAATGATAAACAAAATAGAAAGAACTTAAAACGGATCACGGATAAACACAACTTAATACAACTAATGGATCAACCGACTAGAATAACCAAAACCTCCAAGACTATGATAGATGTATTATTTACAAACAAAGCTGACAGAATAGTTAAAACCTACAACTTCCTGACTGGTCTTTCTGACCATAATCTTGTTCTTTTTGCCAAGAAACTCACCAAAAAAAGGTTCATGGCCACACCTAAAACCCTGCCTTGGGTTGACGCTTCATCCCCAAAAATCTGCAACAACGTTTTATGGAGGTAGTGAAAATGATTAATTGGGGGGACACTCTGTCCTCTGAAGACATTGGTGAAAACAGTCATCTGTTTATATCTAAAATTAATGATGCAATGTCTTCCTTCTCAAGGAGAGGGTCAGTTAGGGACAGGAAGGAACATCATCTTCCCTGGCTAAATCTACAGTGCAGGAATTTAATGAAATCCAGAGACCAACTATTAAAGCAGAGCTTGAAATCCGGACTATCCACTGACAGACAGAAATTCACTCATGCTCGTAATAAAGTAACTCAAACAATAAGACAGGCCAAAGGTAACAGTAAAAACGTTTGGCAAATCCTAAATAAACTATTAGGTAAACATAAGAAACAGGAAAATAATGCTCTAGAATTAAAAATCAATGATGCCCTGATAAAAGACCCTGCAGTGTTGGCCAGCTCTCTGAATGAGTATTTTATAAATAGTGCTCTGGACATCACAAAGCTCTTCCCGCCATCTGAGGTCTCACCTAGCCCAACTGTGGATACACATCCAGTTTTTGACCTGGAGGAAATCACAGAGGCTGAGGTAAAAAATATAATATTAGGGTTAAAAGGTTCTAAGGCTAGGGATGCAGATGATTTAGACACCAACTTTATAAAGACAAATATTGACGGTCTAATAAAACCAATTAGTATGCTAGTAAATCAATCTATCAGCACGAGGGAAGTTCCATCATCCTGGAAGGTGGCCACGGTGACACCGATTTTTAAATCTGGGGATAAGGCAATGATGTCCAATTACAGACCAATCAGCATCCTCCCCTGTGTCTCTAAGGCCCCGCTCACACGGGAACGTTTGCGTTTATGCACAGTATGCGTATTCAAAAAAGTCTTCCGTTCACATGCATTCGTTTCATTTAACGTGTCTGTTCAAACGAGGCCGCTGGAAATGCTGTAGTACATATGTCGGGACTGTAAGTGGCGCTGTACTTCCACACGAGACCGCTCGAAAGCTGTAGTACATATGCCGGGACTGTAAGTGGCGCTGTAACTTCCGCCACAAAATACACCAAAAGCAGCGAGTATAAGATCCCCCCCGGATGTGTGTGAGGCACAAACAAAACAAACAAACGAAGATGGCTGTTATTCGCGCAAGAAAGGAGCTATTTTCGTGGACCGACGATGAGGTGGAACTTCTTCTACATGTAACATTAGAGTACAAAACGACAAAAATACAGGATAATGTAGACTGGGAGTCCTGCAAGCCTAAATATATGGAGATAGGGGACTTATTTCAGGCGCAATATCCGAGGACCCCGACTGAGAAAGATTTCCCTCACGAGAAGAACACCATTTCACAGGGCCAGCTTACAGCGAAGCTAAAGCAAGTACGTATTAAGTACAGGCAGGCGGTGGACCTCGGCCGTCGGAGTGGCCAAGGACGTGTTGTTTACATGTTCTTCGAGCTGTGTGAGCAGATCTGGGGTGGCTCGCCTGCTACGCACCCCCA